CACAAGGTCTAGCATTATCACAGTCTCACTACATTGAAAAGGTACGTGACAAGTTCAAGTATTTGGATTTCAAAATTGCCAAGACTCCAATTGACGTGAGTTATGCACTTCAAAAGAATGAAGGTGAAAGTGACTCACAACTGGACTATGCAAGAGTATTGGGAAGTTTGATGTATATCATGAATTGTACGCGACCAGATATAGCATGTGCTATTAGCAAACTGAGTCAGTTTACAAGTAATCCCAATCAAATACATTGGATGGCAATGAAACGAGTTTTGGGATATCTGAAACATACCCAAAATTATGCTTTGCATTATAACAAATATCCTTCCGTGATCGAGGGATATAGTGATGCAAATTGGATCACCGGATCATCTGAAGTTAAATCCACAAGTGGATATGTTTTCACAATTGGGGGTGGAGCAGTGTCTTGGAAATCATCCAAACAAACGTGCATCGCCCGTTCTACAATGGAATCTGAATTCATAGCTTTAGATAAGGCCGGTGAGGAAGCTGAATGGCTTCGGAATTTCTTGGAAGATATTTCATTTTGGCCCAAACCTTTGGCACCTATATGTATACATTGTGATAGTCAAGCGGCAATAGGTAGGGCAGGGAGCGTTATGTATAACAGAAAATCTCGTCATATCCGACGGAGACACAATACCGTTAGACAACTACTCTCTAGTGGTTTTATCACAATTGACTACGTAAAGTCAAGAGATAACGTGTCGGATCCACTTACAAAAGGCCTATCTAGAGAGGCAGTTGAAAGATCATCAAAAGGAATGGAATTAAAGGCCTAGGACAAGTCATCATGGCGGTAACTCTACCTAGCAGACTGGGGATCCCATGAGCTAGGTTCAAAGAGATCAAACAAAGTTATGAATGACGGTTCAACATTGTCAACTAACTCAACCCATTCTCGTGATGAAGACAATGTTCAAAAACGAGGTAAAGTATTAAGGCTTTTTTGATGAGTCAATAAAGCTTAAAGCTTTTTAATGATTTGCTAAATCTGGCAGGATATGACCAGATAGTGTGTCTTTAGGATTACACTTTTAGGAATCACCTATGTGAGTGTGAAGTGTAAGCCGCTTCAAGGAGAATGAAAGTAAAGGCCCATTCTCTAAGCACTCATGAAACCAGGCGGTATTCATGGCTGAAACGAACACAACCGTGAGAACCATAGATGGTTAAGGATTGATTGTGTGACTTATGTTGTCTAGGTATACAACAAAGCTCTACGGTTCAAAGATATCAAATCTACCGATTGACCGAGTATATCCGATATAAGTTCACTACGGAAAATTCAAAGGGAAACCTACTTATCCAGATGCAATCAATTCTTGCTTGTAAAACACACACACGTCCGTGCATTCTTTTGAGTTTATAGCCATGCCCCATTCATGTGGGGGATTGTTGGGTTTGTTATTAATAAATAATAACAAAAGAGGTGTGAATTAAAAATGGTGGAAAAAGAAATGGAGGGAAGTAAAATTTTGAATGAGTTCATTTCACTTTTGCACTTTGTCCCTCAGTGGTAGAAGGAAAGAAAATCTTTGTGTATATAAAGAGAAGCTCATCTTTTAGCTCTTAAAGAGCTAAGAAGAAGGCAAGCCTCGCGCCGTCGCCGTCGTCGCTCGCTCGGTTCGGCTTCGGCTTTGGCTTCGGCTTCGGATTTGGATTTGGATTTGGATTGTCAAAGATCGATTGATTGATTAATCTTTTTGGACAAAATTCTTTTCAAATAATTAATTAATTAATTTAATTAATTAAAGAAAATTCAATCCGAAATAACCCATCACCCGCGACCCGGTCCGGTCCGGTCCGGCCCGTTTTTCTTTCCCGGATTATTTTAAATCCGTTTTATATTTCCCGCAATATTTTGAACAGCCATGGCTATTCTGAAACAGTGTCACACCTGTTCCAACAGCTATGGTTGTTCTGAAAGGTTGCAAACCTCTTCAGAAACAGCACCAAGTTGGCTATAAATATACCTTCAAATCCCAGAATATTTACTTACTAAATTTTCTGAATCTTCTTCTTCTTCTGCACAAAATATTCCAGTGTGTTTTACGACCATCGAGTGGTTCGCCGATCACCAGAGTTTTAGGTACCGATACACTGGTGAGTTAAATCATTCTATCCTGGGAGGATATATTCCAGAATCTCGGGTATTTGAGGGGAATAATTTCCTTAAGGACACACTGTGTATTCAGTGGGCTCGATTTGTTCCTACAACGCTTTCTGAATTTATTTTGAAGAAATTTACTATTTTTCGGAATTTAATTTCTATTAACTTTCTGTTTTTGTTTTCAGAAAGATTATTATTTAATTTATTTTCAACAATACAGATATATAACAATTAGCACCTTGTATTGTTTATAGTGTCTTCTTTTGGTGTTGTTTGGACTGAAAAAAAAAAAAGTAATTAGCATTCAGACAAATACTAGCTTGTTCATCCTGTTCGATCTAGTTGTTCCATGTTTTTGTATGTAAAACTAATTTATTTATTTTTAAAACAGAATACTATAAAACTTCAAGTTGTGAGTACGGAAATTTCGAAAATTAATTCGCCCCGATGAAACATGCATTGCAACAAACAATGTATCGACAAAGCAAGCCACAATTCTCCAATAATTGGCGGTTTTGCACGACCCCGGTATTTGGCAAGATCATCATGATTAGGAGTGACAAACTAACGGGTCGAATATATGTGAATCAAAATGGATAATATTAAACAAACAAAATATTCAATTCGATACATATTTAATACGAATAGAAAATGCGTTAATCAGTGGAGAATATAAATATTTATATTACAACGACTTCTTGAATATAATTACTTTTGGGAGGATTCATTGTCTCTCGTACACTTGCCCGCCAAAAAACTTGATGTTTTAATTTGAAATCCACACCCACATCATGAGAAAGCACTGCAGTGTGCTCAGCAGCAGCAATTTCTTCAACCGTTAGTAATCCAATTCGACAGGAAGGCAAACTGTGATCCACAAAAAGGTAACAAACGATAGGAGACAAAAAGGAAAAAAAACAAACCCAAAACCTTAAAATTTTCGCCATTAACAGACAGATCAAATATTAAGTACAAATGTACAACATTGCAAGTGAAAAAAAAAAAAGAAGAAGAAAATAACAAAAATGTATATAAAGCTAAGCACATAAACGCCACAACCAAATAGAGTTGGCAACAGTTGGCAATGACTTAAGTTCAAAAAAGCTGGCCACAATTGGCAATGACTACAAGTTCGAAACCTAAATGTGATATTTTTGGACTCAAGCGACCAAAATAGGTTAAAAAAAAAAAACAACTGATCACCATTTTATATATAGCGATGACTTTAACGGCACATTTGTCTGTTAAGATATAGCGCGGTGAACAAACGCAGTATTTGAACTTAAAACGAGCGGGAGGGTAAAGCGCGTTATATATGCGCGCTATACGTATATAAAAAAGCGTGCCTTCTCCTTCCCCATAGACGCGAACCAGCAGACCCCCTCTCCTTTTTTAATTCCCAGCGGCGCCCCGACCATTTTTAACAAAAAAACTCCATTGGAGCCCCCCGGTCCCACAAAAAGTGTAAATTCTCAGTAATGTAACAGCTAACATCGGATCTAAGGTGTTATCGCATAGTGGGCTGCTTGTTTCAACTTCCAAATCATCAAATCTTCACCTTTAAAATCGAGGTATTCCAACTTATTTTTTGTTAAAAATCATGTATAAAAAATGCCTATTAATTGTCTTTTACTGTGTTCTATGATATTTCGTGATTGTTTTGCGGTCTAAATTAATTTATTATTTTTTATCTGGATTAGATTATTAGTGTGCTAAAAATTAGTAAAATAGAGAAATTGTTATTTTATGAATAATTAATGTTATTAGTTGTTATAAAAAAATATTTATTAGTTATTTTTTGCTGTGGTATATGTATTTTTGTGATTATTTTGTGATTATATTAATTTGTTATTTTTTTATCCGGATTAGATTATTTATGTGCTAAAAAATTAGTAAAATAGATAAATTATTATTTTAAGAATAATTAATGTTATTTAGATGTTATTGTTGCACATATATTAATATGTGACTTTAACATTGTTTAGTTCTTTTTAGTGATATGTTGTGCCCGTAATTTTAATGTAGTGCCCGTAATTGAAATGTAGTGCCCTTTCGTAGTAAAATGTAGTGCCCTTTAGCGTAATATTTTTGTAGTTATTGAAATTAATTATTTAATTATCTGTTAACCACAAAAATATCTGAAAAAAGATGATAGTTCAAATGTAAGAAAATAACATTAAAAACAACAATATTTTTCAAACTAAGTATTATATGAATATTTAATAATTAAATCATGTATAGTTATGAAAATTAATTATTTAATTCTATTATACCCCAAAATAGGTGAGTAAGAAACAAACATATAAAATAAGAAACAAACTTAGAAAGTAATAAACAAACATATAAAATAATAAACAAACATATAAAATAATTAAGTAACATATAAAATTATAATATAGAAAATATATCAACTTAAGTAACAATATAGTAAAAATAATATTAATATAAAATATATTGCAAATATATTTAAAGATGTTAAGCAATTAAAAATACTTTAATTAATATTGTTCAATTTACAGACATCGTCATGGAGGTTCCCCCTGTGCATCCCGGACCTGCATCTCTAGAGCTACTTTTGCTACAAGCCAACCATAGGTCTACATACATATGGGATGGGCAATGTTTGTCCCAGACATTCTGCGCCAGGCGTATAGACGATATGTGGGAGTTCATTAGGGACCACCCACTCCATCCCCGTATAGTGAGACGTCTTCAGGATACAGGTTTCTACGGGATCATTGAGATAGGCCGGTTTCAGTTTGACTGGCCGTTTATCACGGCTATGATAGAGCGGTGGCAATCGGAGACGTGCACATTTCATCTACCCATCGACGAGGCTACTATCACGCTTGAGGACGTGGAGGTTCTTTTCTGGCTGTCGGTTGATGGATTACCTGTAGCTTACCTGTATGCACTTAGAGACTATAGGGGATTGGATTACCTGCATATGTTGTAGCGGCTCATCGGTTATCAGCCAGCGGAGGAGACTGCATTAAGTGGGGCCACTCGTTTGCAGCTGACACCCATCCAGTAGCATCTGGAGGCGATGGATGCGGAGATTACGGATGATTCACCACCGGAGGTTATCGACCGGCATACGAGATTGTTGCTGCTGCTGCTGATATTTTGTGGTGTATTGTTCCTGAACACTTCGAGAAACCTAGTCAACTTGAGATTTCTACATCATCTTGAGCAGCTAGATAATTTACCTGGTTACAGCTGGGGTGCAGTTGTTCTAGGTTACCTGTATAGGCGAATGCCCCGGGCGTGCATGGGCACCCTGAGAGACATTCAGGTGAAAACATAGTCAATTCTTTTCATGATTATAACATACATAGTAAAAAAATACCTTAAATCTTACGTCCAAAATCTATATTAGGTTTGGGCCTGGGAGCGGTTCCTGCAGTTCCAGCCACCTCTACCACCCATCGCTCCAGATACACCACCTCCACCGTTTCTCCCTTTAGCTTAGAGGTGGGTTGATAGGCGAGGCAACGGATGCAAGGTTGAGGCTCGACCTCATCTCCCCTATTATAGGGATTTGTTGGATTTGCTTGAAGGCGCGCGGGTACATGCATACTTAATTTTTCTTGGCCTAGCTTTATATGTGTTGCGTTTACTCACGATTCCTGTGCTTAATTAGTAGTTCTTATGGAGGCCATACAGTGACGCGCTCATAGCTGGTTTGCCCGATTATTGCTCCCGCGGACGAGTTATGTGGACATCTTTCGTCCCATTGATATGCGTCGATATTGTCGAGCATCATGCCACCGAGCTAGTCCTTCGCTAGTTCAGTCGACCGCAGCTCATACCTATTTCACCCTCTTATCTTAGGACACATTACCAGCGAGATGATCGTTCTATGGTTGACCAGACATATGTGGCCTGGCTAGAGGCCCAGATTGAGACTTGGGACCATAGGTATGACTTGATTCCGCCACCCCTCCACCTGAGCATACGGATGGCGAGCATGAGTATATGGTCTGGTATCGCAGCGTCACCCGACTTCTCATCAGAAATCCCGTTCATCGCTCTGGTGGTCGGTATATTCCATATGCCTCGAAGCATGAGGCACTGGTATGTTATTTGTTATACTTACTTATAACGTTAAATTATCCTTCCGTAATTAATATTTTACATATTATGCAGTCTATTGGCTTACATGAGTTCTACCAGTTGGGACTGCAGATGCTGCAGCATATTGACGAGGGAGCGGCAGCTTTGCACGAGTATGGCCGGGGGTTACGGACCTGGCTGCCCGGATATTGAGGCGTGCCCCAGATGATAAGCGATTAGGATACAAGGCTGCTTGTGTTCCGCCAAAGGAGTACCATCATGGGCCACCAGTGGAGCCTGAACATGGTAAACGTGGCAGGCGTGGCCAGAGTGGAAGGGGTGTCCCACGAGGTCGTAGTGGTCGGCGAAGACAGGGTCCCCAGCAAGGGGGCGTTGAGGCACCTGTGGAGGATATTAAGGATGATCAGGCAGTTGACCACCCTGAGCCACAGGATGCTCCTCCTGATATGACGTCATTCAGCCTTCAGTTGTCGCTAAAGACTTCGCAATTGACCCTGTCAGCTCTATTGTTGATCGCGGGCACGTCCATTATGCGACAGGAGAGGGATCAGTATTATCCTGATCCCCTAGAGCCATCGACGGTTGTTGATGATCGTCCGACACGAGACGTGAATAGTGGGCGACGACTGAGTTATGGCTTATCATCGAGGGATGTTGAGGATCTTTCTCAGGCACAGGTTTATTTGTATTACTATTATTTCTGTTTTTTTTATCTCATTGATTAATCAGCAATATCTAAAGCTTTTTTTTTAACAGACACCGTCCGCCCATCACGGAGGTCATTTTGTGCGATGCTGACATGCCGGAGATGGATGATTTTGCTTAGGAGCCCGCCCAGACCATGGTATGACCATTAAATTTGTTTTAACACGTACGTTAGTTATTTCATATACTAAAATATCTTATTATTGTAGGTTACTGCTGGCCCGACTCCCGCTTGTACCTAGTCTGCTAGCCTTACCGACGATCATGCTGCAGCGCATCCTCCGATATAGAGGCGACGCGATGGGGATGATCCTAATAGCGTAGCTGGCCGAGATGGGATGCGCCTCAGGCCAGCCAATGCTTTAAAGCATACAAACCGTGGGACACATTGACGTTTATTATTATCTGCATATATGACATTAAATATATAATAGCAACATTATTTATGTTTTACATAATTGCGCATGTGTTTGTATACCTCGGGTTATTTATTAGTTTAATACTAGAACAAAAAAAACGACATCTTAACATAAATTTTAATTCGGTACAACTAAAGATAATACATGACACGTGCAACATTAAAATAAAATACTACTCTCAACACATCCAATATTTTGTTTAGTCACTATCGCCCATTGTTTTGTGCTTCAACCACTTAAATTTCTCTTCAAACCTATTTTTTATTCTTCTGCCTCTTTTAGTTTCTCATTCACTGCCGCAAGTTGTTCTTCTAGTTTAAAGATCTGGAGTTTGTATTCACCGGTCATATTCCAAATGCTTAGCAAACATGATTTGTAGTATTCCTAGTTAATGGGTTCATCATACTATTCTTCAAATCCACATTGATTTTCATCCTACCAATGGGGAATATAACACAACACTATTAATTAAACGGTATCACCAACATCCATTTGGTTCGGTGTACGCGTTCTTTTTGGCACTTGCCATTGACGCACATAATCCTTGTTACACACTATTTTAAATAGTTCCGGCGGCCAATAATGCTCAACACTCACTAGCTGTAACTGTCCACTATAGGTGTTTAAGTATGCAGCAACACTATATTCTTTATCAACGTACCTCGTTGCCGCGATACCTGTATGTTGAAAGCACTTTGTACCATGTGAGTGTTACACCCCATGTTTTCGTATGTGAGAGTACGTCGTAAGTCAATTGATGTAAGCTCAGAAATAAGATTATATTTGGAAGCATACAAATAAGTCAATCATGTTACATTGTAGGTTACAAATATTTTATATCATGAATAATGAGTACCAAGAGGGTTGGAAAGCTTAGAAGCTAAACCAATTAAAGAAAGTAAGTTTCGTCGAAAGTCGACAAGTTTGGAATGTTATAACATGTACTTTGGGATGAGACCAGGGTTCTTACCATGATAAGGAGGTTATTCTATGAGTTATTTTAGTCGTATTATAGTCATTTTCTACGTTTTGAAGGCAAGCAAGTTGTGGAACAAAAGTTGGCAAAGGTCATCACAAGTTACATTCATAAATGTGCTGAAAATTAGGTCAAATGTAAATGCGATTTTCTCCCATTTTACTTTGAATTATGGGGTGATCTACCTACCAAATTGAAGATTACGAGTCTAGTTTCTAATGCATCAAACTACGTCGATACAATATCGGAGTAGAGAGACATTCACGTTATTGCAAGACTGTGCCAAGCAACTCTTTATGGGTCCCACAATGGCAGTTGAGATATATTGATATATATATATAAGATGCCTCAACCCCGTTTTAACTCATTATTTTTAGTATCTTCAGACCCTAGAAACTTAAAAACACTCTCTCAAGGTTCTCTCATGATCCAAGACCCAAACAAAGGGCAAACAACACAAATCAAGTGTCGGGAATCCCGTTGCGCTAGTAAGTTTCTTGTTCTTCTTGTTGTTGCTGATTTTTGGGTGGTTCCAACTCGTGTGGGAGGTTGTTTTAAGTGTTTTAAGTTCTGTAATATAATCTCCCAAGGTTTTTATATCAACCCTAGGTTATTTCAAGTATTGCAAAGGGATTACACCATATTTCAACATCAAAAGTTAGTTCTGGTGAAGAACAATACCTCTTTGAGGTTGTGCTGTCATTGAGGATAGTTGTGGGATGTGTTTGACTGAAATTTCAAGTTTTTGCTACTTGATAAGGTGTTTTAACATCCTACTAATTATTCTTGAGCTTGCTTGTATGTTGGTTAAGTTGTTAGAAAGATAAACTACAAGATACTACTTGGATTAGCTTAAGTCACTTCTATGGTGTTGTATTGCCATTGAGGGATGTTGTAAGCTAAATATAACTTGGATTTTGACATTAAGTTACTGTAGGAGGTATTTGTATTGTTTTCATGCATGTTCTTAAGGTTATCTTGATGTTGATTAAGTTAAATGGATGGACTAGACATGAACTAGTGAATAAAGTTGCTAACTGAAGATAGTTGGAGTTGTGGATTGTTTCTTTTGTTATAAATATATGGTATAAGGATGGAATCATTGGTGAATGACTTCATTATCATGTTAATGATACTGTTACGTTAATGTGAGAAGTCTATAAGGGGTGATATGGGGTATACGGGTTCCAACCGGAGCTTGCCGCTCGTCGTGAAGTGGTTTTGACTTGTTGTTGCTATATGGTGTCTTGTTATTGATATTTACATGTTGCTAGATTTCTCTGGTTGTTTCTGTTGGTATATGGTATTGGAGGAGCCCCTTGTTACAGGGTAGATGCTTCCCAAATTTACATAAACGAGCTACTAATTCAAGTTGCGGACTTAGCCTTTACTGAGCACTGATTTTGAATCTCCTTATGCTATGGTAGATTGAGTTGAGTTGTTTGAAAAATTGCTTGGAAGGTATTAAGGACTAAAAGGAGTTAAGGTATGTTAAGGCACTTCCTTCTTTCCTTTGGCATAATCTAAAGTGAAATGAACATAAATGATACGCCAATTCATAACGGATCTACTCCTAGAAACTAAGATTGTCCATGTTGTTATTTCCTTATAAAGTTATTCTAAGCAAGTATGTATTGGCATAAATTCAACACTACTTTCCATCAATGACGATGAACCTCTAGCTCTTTCAACAAACCTCTCCGCCATCTCCTTGAATGACATCCGAACCATGACAGTAACAAGTGTCACACCTCCTTTTTCACTACACCCCCGTAAAGG